TGCTTTTGGAAAAATGTTGCTGCTTTTGGAAGTTCCAACAATGACTTTATTTTCATCAACACAAATCTAAATGCAATTTTGAATGTGTGATGCAGATAAACACATGTACTTTCAGGCTCCAGTTCACCGTTTACATATGGCAATGAAAATTAATGAAATAATTTTAAACAGTTAATGTCTAACACATGAAGAACTCATTTTTTCTTTTCTTCTCCCTCCCTTCCTTCCTTCCTTCCTTCCTTCCTTCTTTCCTTCCTTCTTTCCTTCCTTCCTTCCTCTAGCCCTGAATTCATTGAATTTGTCATGTAATCAAGAGAAGTAGCTGTTTAAACAACTTTAGTTTCTATAGCAGATATCTATAGCTATTGATGCCCTTCTCATTTCTACTCAGGTTTGCCCCTGCATGTTGAAAGCTACTTATTGCTAATGCTGTAGGCTCTTTGCCTGAAGGATTTTCTCCTGGCCATGATAATCCACTTTGCTCACACAAAGGGCAATTTAGAAATGCTGGATATTTTTCTTGGAGGGCGCTCTCAACCAATGTCAGGAGAACTGGCAGATAAATACCCCAAATTTCTCACCCATTTTGGGGATAAATCTGGGGTGTGCTTTATACTATCCCTGAGTTCCCCAGTAGAATGGAATTCTAATTCTCCATGGTAGAAACAGCTTAATAAATGTATTTTTTATTGGCTTCCTTTCTATGCTTATCTCATATCCTCATTTCTTCAAGGGTGTTTCCTGAGATCACCTCTGAAATAAACTACTTGTAGTTGAATAATTGTCTCAGGGTCTGCATTTGGAGGAACCCAAACTAAGAGTGAGTTACATCTCAGGTCAAATGGAAATTCTGAGCCTGTTTTTTTTTTGTGTGGCTGGATATCTTGCTGAGATTCTAGCTGCCTAACCTAGCATGCACGGGTGACTTCACTCTTTTGATCAGAAGGAGGAATACAGTCCACGTGTACTGTTTCTATACATAGTATTCTTGTCTTTAGGAACTATTAAACTAGGACATGAACAGATTAGAACATTGCAAGGAATGGGCCATGTTAGATATGTTTTCTAGCACAATTTTATCAGATTTTTTTAAATATTCATGAGTAATTCTCCCTGTCTATCCTTTTAGTCTAACTGCTAGCTCTGGGCAGGTGTAGTCAGAGAGCATCTTGTCATAGCTGCACCATGTATCTCTCAGTTTATGCCCTGTGGCTTCATTAATAGCACTGCACATGATATTTGTAGAAGCCTGTTAAACCATTCTGATAGATGCATAAACCTGGAAGTGCCAGAGATATACCTTGAGATTTTTTGACCACTTAAGGGATGGGACGTATTAGATAAATATTGCTGTCTTTTATTCTTGGGTAAACATAATTATATTCTACACCATTCCTCAATGAGTTCCTGGTGGGACTGAGGCTTACTCACTCTGAGATTTGCTTTTCTTTCTTCCTTGTTTCATTCTTCTCAGTCTCCTCACTCTTGAGCCCTGAGACTACTTCTCCAAACAAATGACCTGCACCCAAAGCTCTTATCTCAGTCTCCACTTTTGGAAGAATAAACCAAAATAACACTTACCTGTACTAGTTGCTTCTTACCCTAATTTACTTAAGAGCATATTACATAAAGCCAGAGAAGTAAAATAAAAATCAATGAAGCAAAAATATATAATGGTATTTCAGAACCATTTAGATTCTTAGAAGTGAAGGTTTTTTCACTGAGCACTGAAGGAAGACTTTAACTTTGGATTTTTCAAAGTATGATGATAAAGAATGGAAAGGCCATTCTAAATAGAGAGATGAAGAGAACAAAGATAGGAATACCCAGGCCTATTTTGGGACTAGTGTCCCAATTTGACTTGGTCATGTAATTTATGAAAAACAACAGTGAGATATAAGCATGAAAAGTTAGACTAAGATCATGTCAAAGATCCTGAAAAGTTAAGCTATGGAGTTAGAACTTAGGGATATAGAAAAGTCATCATTTAAATTCCTATGAGGTATTATAGCAGAAAGGAAACTCAAACCATGAAATATATGCTTAAAAATGTATAAAAGCTTTTGTTCTCTAATGGAAATTGCAACAGTTGTTAGGACTGAAATTTTCTGTTTTCTCTAGGATGATTGCACTTCCTGTATTGAACTTCAAGATTTCATAACCAAGCTTCAATACTCAGCACTAGTTGTGTATTAGTTTGCTAGGGCTGGTGTAAAACAGTACTACAACCTGAGTGTCCTAACAATAGAAAAGTACTGGCTCACAGTTCTGAAGGCTTGACGTCCAATATCAAGGTCTTGGCAGTGTTGGTTCCTTTCGAGGGGTGGGAGGGAAGGATCTGTTTCAGGCCTCTTCTCCTTGGCTTATAGATGACCATATTTCTGTCTTTGTCTTCCCTCTATGTCTGTCTATTTCCAAACTCCCCCACACCTTTAAAAAAAAGATTTTATTTTTAAATAATCTCTACACCCAATGTGGGGCTTAATTTACAATCCTGAGATCATATGCTCTACTGACTGGGCCAGCCAGATGCTCCAAATTTCCCTTCTTTTAAATAAGGATGCCAATAATATTGTATTAGAGACCATTCTAATGACCTTATCTTAACTAATAACATTTACAACAACCTTATATCCAAATAAGGTCACGTTCTGAAGTACAGGGGTTTAAGCCTTCAACAAATGAATTTTGGGGAGCAAAATTCAACCCATTGCATCTTGCAAGTATAAAAAATCCTTAAAGAGAGTAATAGAGTCAGTTAAAGTTTATCTAACAAATTCAACATTTTAAGAATAGCAGTTATGTCAGTCCTGAATATAAATATCTGATCTCATAAATATTTTTAAGGGGGCTGCTAGAAGTTGAAATTGTATTGGTGGAATCCAAAGAATTCCAAGTTGGAAGATGAAGAATTCAGGTCAGGTCAAAGTATGAACAAATATATAGTAATGAAAATAATAAAGATTTCACAGGTAAATGAGAAAAAATATTGCAGAATGGGTAAATATTCAAGCACTGATTCAGAACATTTGGGTTTCAGTTCTAGCTCTATTACTTCCACTGCTTACTTGCAAAGACCTTGAACAATTTACTTAAACTTTCTAGGCCTAAATTTCATTATTTGTAAAATATGCCCTTAGAGTACCTAGCCAAGACCTTTAGATTTTGGTATGAATTAAAGACTGGTTACAATATGTGCCCCAACTGCACAGTTCACCTGGGCAAGGTTTCCAAATGGTTCTATTGAAGCCTTTTTCCTAGGATTGAGGTAAGAGGGAGCACATCTGATCTCTTCTTCAGGATAAATAGAACTCATAATACACCCCAAACTCTCCAAAAATCCTCTTCTAATCTTTAACTCCTCTCAGACTCTCCAACCCCATTTATTGACTATAAGTCAGCAAAGGGTTACAAAACCAGTTATCTAATCTCACACTTCACTCCAGAAGCCTTAACCAAATTGAGATTAAAATAGTACCATTTTTATCAGCCTGTTATACTAATGAGATTGCATTGAGATACTAATCAAATGGGCATTTTATATAGTGATAATAGGAGGGCAAAGTTTTTTGGGAATGTATATTAAGGGCTTTAAAATAATCATGTTCTTTGACCTGTAATTCTACTTCCAAAAATCTAGTCTAAGGAAGTAAGTTAAAATGTGGACAAAGTATGTTAATTGCAGAGTCATTGTTAACAGTGAAAAATTTGAAACATTCTAAATTTCTAACAATGGAGGAATATACTGTGTTTAGTAACATATTTTATAATCATTAAAAATAATGTATAGGGTTAAGATGATAAATTTTGTGTTATGTGTTTTTTACCACAATTTGAAAAAATAATGTATAGGAAGTTGTTTTTTATTAATAGAGAATGCTTATATTACAATATAAATGAAAAACACAGGATACAAAATATATGTATATCAAGGTTTCATATGTTAAAAGTATGCAGAGAAAGAGGACTAGATGAAAATATACAAAACATTATCATTGCTTCCCTGTGTTTGGTGCTTAGTTTTGCTTTTATACTTTTCTGTACTTGAAAATTTATAACCAACAAAAGGAAATTATATCAAAACTAAGTCTTAATCAGCTCCCAGATAGAAGGCAAGAAAACAATCTGGGGAGAGACAGTGTGGAAACAACAATCAGAAAAATGTCCAGGGCACACAGAGGGGAGTTATTCCCTATTCTAGAAATGCTCCTCTGAGAGGCAGCATTCACAGAGCCTCTCCAGGAACAAAGGAGACGACTGGTGCCATTTCCCTACCCCATCCCTCAGCATAAGCACAGAGCCACCTGAGGGAAGCAGCTCAGAGAGGACACTGACTGTCTAACTTGCTTACACCAAGGCCCACCCCTCTGTGCTGTTGCAGGACTGTTCTCAGTTAGGCTTGCCTCAGTCCCAGTAGAGTGGGCCCCTTCCCCAGAGGACCGGCACAAACCTCTGCCCACACCATATCTCCTGACCAGAGAGTTCTGCAGGGCCTCAATTCTGGTAGAGTTGGTGTCAGGTCTCATTTCACAAGCAGACCAGAGCACATTTAGATAATACTTGCCACATTCAGGCCAAGGACCAAACAGTGCCCATAGCAAGCAAGGAGAGCCTTTGCAGGTGACTGGCCTGAAGGATGGAGCAGCCAACACACAATAGCAGAGCACACACAGCACACACCAGAGACACTTCTTAAAGCACTAGGCCATGGGCACTATATGACCTCTCCTTCACAAGGCCATTACTTTCATGAGCAGGAGACAGAACTAGTTTTTCTAATACAGAGAAAAGACAGAGATTTATTCAAAATGCCAAGATGGAGGAATTTATCCCAAATAAAAGAACAAAATAAGGCCACAGCCAGAGCTCTAAGTGAAACATATATAAGTAACATGTCTGATGGAGAATTTAAAGCAGTGATGATGAAGATACTCACTGGGCCTGAGAAAAGAATATAAGACATCAGTGAGACATTTACCACAGAGATAAAAGAGTTAAGAAAGAATCAATCAGAGATGAAGAATGCAATAAATAAGATTGGAAATAGGTTACTGCAATGAACAGCAGACTGGAGATAGCAAAGGAATGAATTAGTGACAAAGAAGACAAAATAATGGAAAATAATGAAGCTGAACAAAAAAGAGAATGAAGAATTATGGAACATCAGAATAGATATAGGAAACTCAGTGACATTGATATTACAGGAGTATCCAAAAGAAAAAGAGAGAAAAGGGGGGAAGAAAATTTGAGAAAATAATAGCTGAAAACTTCCCTAATTTGGGGAAGGAAATGGAGATTCAGATCCAGGAGACACAAAGAATGCCCATTAAAATCAATAAAAGCAGGCCAAAAAGAAGACATATTGTAATTAAATTTGCAAAATATAGTGATACAGAAACAATTTTAAAAGCAGCAAGACAAAAGAAGTCCATAATTTATAAGGGAAAATCTGTAAGTCAAGCTGGATATTTCTCAACAGAAACTTGCAAGCAAGAAGGGAGTGGCATGATATCCTCAAAGTGCTGAATGGGAAAAGTCTGCAGCCAAGAAAGCTCTATGCAGCAAGGCTATCATACAGAATAGAAGGAGAGATAAAGTTTCCCAGAAAAACATAAATTAAAGGAGTTTGTGACCACTAAACCAGCTCTGCAAGAAATATTAAAGAGGACTCTGAGCATGAAGAAGAGACCAAAAGTGACAAAGACAAGAAAGGATCAGAAAAAATCTCCAGAAACAACAACAAAACAAGTAGTAAAATGGGAATAAATACATATCTATCAATAATTACTTGGAATGTAAATGGACTAAATGCTCCAATCAAAAGACATAGGGTGTCAGAAAGGATAAAAAAAAAATGACCTATCTATATGCTGCCTACAAGAAACTCATTTTAGACCTAAAGACATGTACAGATTGAAAGTGAGGGGGTGGGGCGCCTGGGTGGCTCAGGTGGTTAAACGTCTGACTTCGGCTCAGGTTACAATCATGCAGTTCGTGAGTTCGAGCCCTGCGTCAGGCTGTGTGCTGACAGTTCAGAGCCTGGAGCCTGCTTTGGATTCTGTGTCTCCCTCTCTCTCTGCCCCTCCCCAGCTCACTATCTGTCTCTCTCTCTCAAAAATAAATAAACGTTAAAA